ATTTAATCAAGTGAAGGAAAAAAAAAAAAAAAAAAAGGTTCTTGGGGCATTTCAAATCAAAAAGCAGGTATGATTTTCAGTATTTCAGAGATATTGTTTCTCTTTTAGCTAATTACTCTCTACAAAATTTAGTCTTATCACCTCGTTTTTAAAATATGTCAATTCTAAATAAAATTCCTCATTCACACGACCACCTTAAACCAGCCAGGATGATGAAAACACAAGTCCTAGAAGTACATAACTTTATTCTAATGTTTAGCTAATTAAATGTCCCCAAATACATAGCTTTATTCAGGTTTGGATAATTAAATATCAGCAAAAGCAAAAGGTGCTGTTGCATATCAGAATCTTGAAATTGTTAATGTTGTATTAAACTACGTATGCTGATAAAATTAAAATATTATTCACGACTGGATCCGTAAAGGGCAGACTTTTATAAACAGCTTTACTAAGCCCACACTGGTACAATCTGTGCTTTAATTATTTCTGAATGGCCCTATCTTCGGTCTACAATTAAAGTCCATGATATGTGGAATGCCCATATTGTAATATTGTCATCAAAGACCTGAGTTTTGTTAAATGCCCAATGCTGGACACCAGCACCATGTTTCTCTGTATTTAATCCTCTTATTACTAACTATGATTCATAACAATTTAAGCTCTAAATAGTATCCAACCTTCCATCTGCTTGTAATAGAGTTCCGTTATTATTTGTGGCAGGAATTTTTGTGACTGTACTGCTCAGCGCTTCTATTTACATCAGCAGAGCTAAATGCCCAATGGTGAGAGGGGAGCCAATCAGATGGCAGATTAGATGTCAACTCAGAGGCAGCTGTCTGGAGACTATTACAGCCAGTTTACCTCCACAATTCAAATTCCAAACCTTGCAAAGGAGATCAAGTCAGTCCTTAGGCTCAGCCTACTAGCAAGAAGCAGCCGGAGTGCAAGACACTTCCCAACTACGCCGCAGGACTTGGGTGACAACAAAATCAAGAAATCCCAAATAAATCCGAGACAGAGAGATCCATTTCCACCGGCCTACCAGCTTTACTAAGCTTTGCCGAATAAAAATGAAAGTCTAATCCCTGATCAAAATAAGTTCAATCGATCCGGAATCTGTCCCTTCGCCGCCCCTCGGCTGAAGGTGACTTCCTAGCCAGCATCCCTAAAAGCCCCATCATGGATCTCCCCGGGCTGTTCTCGGGGACGAACCGATGCTATTTTACAAGATTCCACGCCAACCCGGGTCTCGTTCCGGCCGGTGGAGCCAAACTGGGCCACACACGGTGGTCACAAAGCTAACCTCATTTCCCGGCCGGGTGAACGGGAACCTAACCCGGGCCGGAGCGGGGAGAAAGTTCTTCCCTCGGCGACCGGTCCGGGAGCACCGCGGAGCGAATCCGCTCAGCTCTGCCCCAGCCGGAACCGGTCCGGGGAGCCCATCCGCGCGCGCCGGCTCGGAAGGTGGAGGCGGGGGGGAGCGGAGCCCGCCGCCCCGCGAGGCTTCCCGGCGGGCGCGGCCTGGGGACCGCGGTCCCGTCCCGGGCCTGGCCGTGCCAAGGGAAGCCGGACCGCGGGGGTTGGGGGGGGGTGGCAAGAAATCCCGGCCCGGCCCAGCCGTCCCCGGCGGCGCTCGGGACAAGTGCCCTGCGAAGAAAGAAACTCGGGCTCGCGGCGCGAGGGAGGCCCGAGCGGAAGCAGGCCCGGCCCGCGCGGGGGTTACCTGGGATCTGCCCATGGTCGGTCCGGGGGTGCCGGGGCTCATCGCAGGGTGACTCCTTTGTTGCGCGGCCGCCCAGGCCGGACTGGCCGCGGCGTACGGGGCGCCCAGGTCCTTGCCCAAGCCCA